CGCTTTATCGGGATGCATACTAAAAGCCACATCCTTGACTTCCTCCACCGTCACTTCCCGCGATAAAAGAAAGTTTTGCTCGTCTGTTATTGTGCTGCAAAAACCACCCATATCCTGCAAAGGAATAACCTCGCCTTGTGTAAATATCTTTTCAAAATAATTGCCCACTAAATTCCGCAAGGCCCCTTGCTCAGAAATCCATTCACCTGAAGCAGACTGTAGCCCCCTCATAATGTTTCTCCTCCTTCGCTGCTTTACAGAATTATGAAATTTTTGTGTGTTAATATCTCCTTGTTGAAGCCAGTACTCTTTTGCCCTCTGTCTCCAAAAATCATTCTGCTTCTCTAGTAACAGTAAATAATGCTCCTTTGTTTTTGCAAACATTGCCAGGCTAGCCACATCTGACTTGTCCCGCAATTCCTCCATCTTTCTTTTACAGCCCTCAATGCGTCGCTGAAAACCCCGGTGTAAACTTCTCCCCCATTTATCGAGCTCCTCTCCACAAAAGCGGAGTCTTTCGTACAATGGTTGAACCTCACAACAACCCCAAGCCCTCTCAACAATGCTTCAACACTCTTTCTCTCTCAACCATAGGTTTTCAAATTTGAAGCTCCTCCTCCGCTTTAACTCGTGCTTCGAGAACTTTACGTATATCGGCAAGTGGCCCATGCATCATCGAACATATTAATCCCCATCCTTCCGAGACCAAAATACGGTCAAGCTTCTCCTCAATCCTTGCAAGCGTGTCTCTTCCTCTCTCCCAAGTAAACTGATAGCCATCAAAAGGAAAGTTTATTAAGCCACTACCCCAAACCGCATCGCGGAATCCCTCAATCATCCACGGAGGTTTAGAGCATCCGCCTCTCTTTTCATGTGCATGCATAATGTCGTTAAAATCCCCCACAACCAACCATGGGAGATTACTGCAATTCGCTAATCCGTTTAGGAGCTTCCAAGAATCCCTACGACGGTCACTCTCCGGGCAGCAATAGAACCCGGTAAGTCTCCATGTTGTTTGAAGTGACCCGCCTGCAATTTGCACATCAATATGATTCCGTGATGAGCTTTCAATTGTAATAGCGTGATCTTCCTTCCCGAGCAGCGCCAGACCCCCACTCCGCCCCACGCAATCCACCGCGAAAACATGATGAAAACCCAAAGTTCTACAAATGCTCTTCATTTTCGGTGAGTCAGTCAGCGTCTCCATGAGAAAGACAATAGATGAATGGTGAGTCGAGACAATATCCCCCAAGACTTGTATTGTGGCCAAATTCCCGAGCCCCCGACAATTCCAGCTCACGCAACCCATGTTTAGGCAACAAAGAACAACAGCCGACCAGGCTGTAACACCGGCGAGGACAAAACTTCCCCACAAATGAGGGAGACAAAAACCTCCGAGAAGAAAACCTCGCGACCAAAACAACCTTCGAACCAGGAAAGTCAAAATCACAGGCCTTCACTCAAACGTCTGACGACGAGAAACCTGCTCTCCAAAGACGAACTCATACGTACCTGACGGCTCCGCCCCATGCAGCAGCGCTAGGTTTTTTTTTTTCAACTTCCAAGTGTTAATAGTTACACTAATGCTTTCATATATTCTCTCCCTATTTAAAAGCTCATTACAATAGGTTTGGACACATTAATTGAAGGTGAAATAGTAGAAATAATAAATAATGTAAAAAAGTGTGAGAGCGAGTGAAAAATACGAAAGAGAAGATAAAAAAGATTGAATATTTTTAAGAGAAAAATTTATGAAAAAGAGAAGATGCAACAAACTTTTAAATTCATCCTAGAAAAAGTGTAGTAAACTTTAAAATAAGGAAAAAGTATGATAACCGACCATCCCAGCCTAATTGGTTGCGAAGTTACCCTTCCAGAGGAGAGGTCAGAGGTCTCGTGTTCGAATCTCACTCGGACCAGTGGAACTATGCTCCCCCAAAAACCCTTCAAGTGGTAGGGCCAAACCAATGTTGAGTTTTTTGTGTAAGAGGCCGTGAAATCGGTGGAGCTAGTCACTATAAAATGTTTTGGGGATGGTGGGTGTAGTCCAATGGATGACCATCCACCCCCAAGTCTCTCTTTTGTGAGAGGCCTTGCTCCCAATGATAGCCCCGACACTTGAATTATCAAAAAAGGAAAAAGTATGATAATTGTATATTTGTATTAATTGTATATATGGGAATATGGGATGGAAGTTTCGTATAATGATTGTATAGAAGGTTCTGGGCATATCATATCGGGAGACCTAGCTAGCTAATCCCTGAATGGTTCTCAAGATGGGTAGGAACTAAGAAGAAGATCACCCATCATTAATTAGCTCCTTAAAACGGCTAAGAGCATTAATATTATTACTCCGCGTGGAAGGAGTCAACTATTAATTACGTAGTACTATTATTGCAATAAAGGAGAGCTTAATTAACATCACATAATTGTGTACCACCAAGCAGCTGAATAAATACACTGCGGTCCTACTTAATTACGGAGTATTATTATTATCCGCCATCCGGGATGGATTTAAGGAGGGGCGCGCGGGGCGACCGCCCCCTTGGACTTCCAAAATTTTATAGTATATATGTAATATTTTAGGATTTTTTACGAGAATATTACGAAAATAAAACTTATTTACATAAATATGACTATTCATTACTACAACGTGGTGCTGTGGTAACTAAAGTTCAAAACTTGAACATGAATTACTATGATTTCATTACTACTCTAGTAATGAATCATATTTTTGTAAACCATCTTCATTTTGATCATATTTATGTAATTATATATTTCAATATTTTAACAAAAATTTCAAACGTTAATTAGATATATTTGTGTTCGCCCCCTTAACTTTTAGTGTTCAAAATTAATATACAACTTTGATTTACACAATGTAATACTTAATTAGAGATTTAAAAGAAGAAATATCTAAAATAATTTACATAACTTAAACAAATGAACAATAGAACAACTCATTATTTAAGGACTTGGGATACTCATTAGTCATTATATAAAAATTTCTAGTTTTGTAATGTTTAATTATCTTTATTAGATAATTAGTACTCAATTTTGTAAAAATAATATCAAACAAAATTTAATACAAAACACATTAGTTGAACGATTTTTAGATCATGTGAAGTGAATTCAAAATTTAAATATGTGTTGACATTAAATTATACAATGCATTTACTTCTTATTACTTTCTAAAAACAATTTATTGAATATATAATAAACTTTCACTTATTTTATCAGCAATATAATATTATTCTAAAAATAATAATCTCATACATACTATTGTCATATTAAGAAAACTTCTCGGAACTCACAAACAACCTCCTTGCTAGACAAAAAAATACAATTCCAAAACCAATTATTTATTCTGATAAGATTCATGTGCTTAAACAACGCAAGAGTTATTCAAAAATTATTTGTTGATGTGTAACTTTTAAACTCTTTACCTTCAAATAATTTGATAAAATTTTATATATTTTTTTGGGGAAAAGGGGCAAAAGACCCCTGAAATTGTCATGAATGGGCATCCATGCCCTTAAAGTTTTCTTTTGGCCAAAAAGCTTTATAATTCACCAAAGAGGGGCAACCAACCCCTTTCTTTTGACGGTAACTCAGCTCATGAAACAGCAACTCTTATAGTTGTTCTTATAGTTGTTCTTTTGATGTTCGAAAATACTACGCATATATTTTTATTTTATTTGAGTTATATGGAGTACAAAATAAAAATAAAAATAAAAGGATTAAAAATACAAGAGAACCATAGAACGAAGCTACTAAGTACCATCTGCGTTCTTTAACAAACCTAACATGTGAAATTTTACACTATTTACATGCTATACGTTGATTACGTTTTACTACGTATTTACTAATGTATTAATAATTCATTTTAACAAAAATATATTTTTAAATTTGTTTCATCCTAAAATTTTAAAATATGAACTTTTAAATTTGTTTAGTAAAAGAGAATCAAATACATTAATAGTCAAAGTTGTGCATTGACAAACGTGATAAATTGACCGTTGTATTTCTTTAATAACAAATAGTGTGAAGTAATGATTGTACAAAAAGGTATTAGTAATTCGAAAAAAAATGTTATTGTTTCATAAAATAAAGTTATTGGGGGTGTTTGGTAAATGGTGTTTTGGTCGAAAAATAGCAATTTGACCACTTTTAGCGTTTTCAATAAGTGATAAAGTTGTTTGGTAAATAGCGGTTTGATACTAGCGTTTTTGGACGAAAACGCTGAAAATAAGAGAGTTTTGGCTTGACGTTTTGAAAATGGCGTTTTCTACAAATTTTATGCCTAAACAGCTAAATTACCAAACATCTTCTAATAACCCGCCAATTTATTCCGCTAGTCAAACCCACTGACTCAATCCGCTATTATAAACCCGCTAACATAACCCGCTATCCGTTGACCGCTAACCGCTAAATGCCAAACACGCCCATTAGCAATTAGAAAAGAATTGCTTTGTACTATGATTAGAGCTGAGCTCGTTTGGTAACACAGAAATTGACTTATTCGGTTGAATGTATTAAAATCTATCAAATTCTACTAAAGTGACTCAATTAATTAAGTTTATTGAATTACAAAGAAATTAAATTTAAAATGTATTTGATGAATTATAAAATTTTCACATTTTCTCATGAAACAATTTTTAAAATTTTCACATTAGAAAATTTTCACATTTTCTCATGAAACAATTTTTAAAAATTTCTAGCCTACTTTAGAAACAATTTTTAAAATTTTCACATTTTCTCATGTGAACTTAAATTATATATTTGTTTTAATGTTGTTAAAAGGAACCATGTATCTATTCAAGAATTTGTAAATGTGGTGGTACAGTTTATGCTTATCAGGTTTAAGAAATATTGCACCTATTTGATACTAGCTTAGTAATCAACCCTTAAACATGGCCCACGTACCTCCAATATTTTATTTCACTAGTATGGAAATTATTTGCTACTGTTTTTTATTTGTTGTTACTACTGTTTTTAAATTTATACTTTCTTTAGCAAAAATTGGAGGGGCTACACTGTCATACTAAAATTGGAGGGATTCAAGGTTGATTTAGATATATTGATCTCATAAGCAGCGGTGCACTGGCCGTATAGCCATGATCGATCATGACTGCTTGTGGCAAGACATGATAATTGCGAGTCCAGAGTATTCATCTACATCAGGTTCTCGGTGTTCTCGTGTTGTCTGATTTTGGGTTTCATTCTTTTCATTGGCTTCTTTTACGGGTGTACTTGCCCGGCGTTTTGGTCCGGTGTTCTGTGGCCGAGGTGTCTTCTTCGTTCATTCTTTGAACGGCTGTTTCTGGTACTGTGGGTTACGTCATTGTTTGGTTACTTTCATTGTTTTGCTTCGTGAGTTTGTTTGCTGCAAGTGAGCTTGTTGTGGCTTGAGTTACTGCAGGCCGTAACTTGGTGGTTGTTTTTATGCTTCTGTGGAGTTTTATTTCGTCAACATGGATATGTTAGTTGATCGCCATGGTCATCTACAATTGGAGAAGGAAGATGACAAACTGGTGGATATATTGCTGCTAGATGAGAGCGGGAGGGAAGAGCTGGATGGGGGATTATCCGAGTGGTCTCTAGTCGGTACTGTTTTTATAGAGAAGAGAGTCAATTTTCTGTCGTTTAGGGACACAATGGCTTCTGTTTGGAGACCGGGCAGAGGTGTCTCAATCAAAGAAATATGCGATAAGAGGTATATTTTCTCTTTTTATCATGAAATTGATATGAAGCGTGTCATAGAGTATGGTCCATGGTTGTATGATCACAATCTTGTGGTGTTGTGTGAGCTCAAGCTAGATGATGTGCCTTTGAAAGTTCCTCTATTTTTTTTTTTGGATTTTTGGGTCCAAGTGCATTACTTGGCTGTAGGTCACTTGAATCTTGGATGTTTCATTAAACTTGACAAAAATCAAGTTGAGGGACGTTGGAGAGCCTACTTGAGGATTCAGGTCCGTTTGAATATTAGCAAACCGCTCAAGAAAAATTTAAAGGTTCAAAAAATGAATGAGGATTGTCTATGAGTAGATATGAGATATGAGAAACTTCCAAAGTTCTGTTTTGCTTGTGGCTTTATTGGTCATGGAAACAAATTTTGTCCCCAAACTCTAGGACTACCAAATTCGGAACACATAAGAGAATATGGGCCGTGGATGAGGGCTAGTAGTGGGCGTACTAGTAGAGGGGGAGGTAGCAAGTGGCTTGTTGATGAGAAAGCAATTAAGCAGGGATTTGGCACTATCGTGGGAATGGAGATGTCTACATCGGCTATGGAGACATGGGTTCTAGTTCTGTTTTTTTTGCAGGTGAGATGAAGAATCCACGGAGCCCAGATAAAAGAGTAAAGGCTGCTGAACAAAAACGCCGTCGGGTGGAGGTGGAATCATCATCTGCATGCACATTGATGGAGATTGAAACCTGTTGCAGAAAAACAGGGTTGGGGCAAGTCCTGGACAACAGGCTCGCCCGGCCAAGCCAAACAATGGGGACGAGGGGGCGCTGCACTCCAGCCTCGTTGGATGATCTGATGCTGATTTCGGGTTTTTTAGTTGAGAAACTTATTTACTCCTTTTGTTTTGCTTTATTTATTTCCCATGTTCTGGATGTTGTTTTTGTTTTAGTTGTGCTGCGTTTTTCCAGCAAAAAAACTTGTGAAACTAAAACAGGGGATGAAGAGTCGTGTCTGCAAGTCATAGGCCCAGGTAAGCCCAAAGCGGGATTAGCGAATTATATGGCTTCTACGGAGGTGATTAATTCAGAGTTTGGTCCTTGGGCGGACGGTAGACGGAGACTTGTTATCACTTTGTAACTTGTTTTGGTTTGGTCCGTTTGGTTTGTTTGGTTATAATAAGTTAAGCTAGTTTCGTTAAAAAAAGATATATTGATCTCATACTATAATACTCTCTCTGTACCCCCTTACTTTGTCTCGTTTTACTTCTTTCTTTTGTCCCATTAAATTTGTTTGCTATCATATTTGATACTCCCTCCGTCCCTAAAAGGATTGCCAAGTTTGACCGGCACGTAGAATAATAAAGTAAAAATTGTGTGGTATAAATTTGTGTAGAGGAGGGAGAAATAACAATAGCCACAAATTGATTGATTAAAAGGGAAAGTGGCAAAGTTTTTGGGACAACCAAAAAAGGAAAGTTGGCAAAGTTATAAGGGACAGAGGGAGTAATATTTAGGTGGTTACAATTCATTTTTACTTTATTTATACTTTACCAATTCAATACTAGCTACACAAATACACTTTTTTTAAAAATCGCACTACACCCTCTTTTCCCAATCTTAGTGGGACAAATGTAGTAAATATTTTGGTACAAGCTTAGTTGCGGAGTTAAAACCATGAATGAACACATGTTTGTTTGTTGTTTTCAACTTGAAGAGTTGAATGATGCATTTTATACATTCATTTGTAATTATGATTGTTTCTTAGTATTATTTTAAATGTTACTCGTATATGATTTATTGCAAAGGTACGTAGTAGAGCAAAAATAATAACCCGGTAATAGATTTGAAGGCGCATTAAAGCGCAGCTAAACCTCCTATGAAGCTAAATATGGATCACAATAAGATGTTGAAAAGCGTGTCACTTTTAGCGACAAAGCTATACCGACGCCAAGAATTAGTGTTGTAAGAAGGTCTAGCGACACAAGCAAAGCCAACACTTTTACAAGTACCGATAAAAATACTTTCGACGCTTTTTAGTACCTCTACAAATCGGTATATAGCATCATATGTAATAGCTCGTTTTCCTACTAGTTTTTTTGTTGGCAAAACTAGTGCTAGTAGTTAGAGAGCCCGTTTGGTAACACCAAAAGTTGGCTGAATTGGCTGATTCTGCTGAAATTTATGACGTTCTGGCTGAAGTGGCTGTATTGGCTGATTCTGCTGATTAATGAAAAAATTATATTTAAAATATTTGTTATTAATAAATTAAATAAAAAATTATATGAAAAATAGCTAAAATGATCCTCTACAGTAACTGCAGCCAATACAGCCAAAAAAGTAACTTCATTCTTACTTTTTCTGCTTATTACAAAATTCAGCGCGCAAAATCAAAAGTTACGTGTTTGATGAAATAATTGGCTGATAAGCCTGATAAGCCGAAAAAATGGGTCACCAAACGGACTCAGAATGTTGTGTTTGCTTTATTTGATAGTTGGGTACCAAAATATCTCATTATTATTAATTAATTGGGGTATCATTCATGCTATTATACTCCTTAATTATAATCACCCAAGTATTGCTAAAAATTCTATATTTGTATCCCTTTCATTTCTATTCATAACAAACTGTTGAAGTTCTACATCACAAAATTGTAATGTAATAAAGTGCTATATTAAGAGATGAACTACTTCTATTATCATGTTGATCTTTTAGGATGGAACCCCGGATTTTAACATGGTATCAGAGCCAAATCGATCCATAGCAGTGGTGTAGGCTCCATATAAAAATATGACGATGATTATAAAAAATGAGAATGACGATTCAATGAAAAAAATTAATGACGGCACGATCCAGACGAAGTTTCTGCTCGTAAGGAAGGGTGTTGAAGTCTCACACCGGAAAATTGTGAAACTAAAGTGCTATATTAAGATCTGCGCTCCCCCTCCTATCAGGTTGACCTTTTGGGATAGAATCTCGAGTCTTAACATGGTATGAGGGTCAAACTGATCCATAACCGTGGTGTAGGCCCCTTATGAAAAGTATGATGATGATTAATTAGAAAAATGACAATGACAAACTGATTAAAAAATGAATGACGACACGATCCAGACGAAATGCCTTATCACGAGGAGAGTTGAAGTCCCACACGGAAAATTGTAAAATAATAAAGTGCTACTCCCTCCGTCCCAAATTGTTTTGCAAAGTCAACATTTTTTGGTCAACCAATAATAAAAGTCAAACCTTCTTATTGATAACTAATTCAATTTTTAATAATTAAAATTTAAACTACATTGAAAATCTCTTCAAAGTTGTAAACTCCAAATTGGAATATAATTAAAAATTGACATCCCAATTAATCGAACAAAATGAATCTGTTTGACCAAGAAAAGTCAAAGTTGCAACTCAATTTGGGACGGAGGTAGTATATAGGGGTGGGTTCGGTTCTTTCGGTTCGGTTTTTACCTAAAACCAAATACGGAACCAAAGTTAAAGTTCGGTTCGGTTTCGGTTCGGTTTTACACTCCAAAACTCGGAACCACGGTTTGATTGGTTCGATTTGCTTCGGTTCGGTTCTTTCGGTTTTTTACCAAAAATTTGTCATTTGATTTAAAATTGATATAATAGTTGGAGGGATCAAACATATTACATAAAAAACACAAGCATACTAGAATAAATGAAGTAAAAATAAGAATAAAAAAACATGTCTTGAATTATATGAGTATGCATGAGAGATATAAGTGTATATATTCTTAGTTTACATTGTTTGTGACTAGATTGAAAAAAGTTCATGAATACATATATCATATGTGATATAGCTGAGATGAATATTTATTTGATTTATCAATGTAAAAAATGTAAGTTACATAAAAATATAATTTAATTACTACTAATAACCTCTAAAAACAATAATCATGCAACAAATTGCAACATGCATACATACATAAAAGACATAATCGATCAATATAGCTACATTATTATGGGCAAATGAATGAGTAAATGCATTTATCAACTAAACTAAACATAAACATTATTTCTATAGCACAAAAAATCAAAGACTATTGATGATATTAGGATTAATGATTAAAAATTAACAAATAAAATTTCATATTTTAATTAGTTCGGTTTGTTCGGTTCGGTTCGGTTTTGAAGGGTAAAAACCAAAACCGAACCAAACAACTACGGTTCGGTTCGGTTTTTTACATTCGGTTTCGGTTTTTAGCGGTTCGGTTTTATTTGGTCGCGGTTCGGTTTAATTTGATTCGGTTTTCGGTTTTCGATTTTCCGGACCCAGCCCTAGTAGTATATAGTACGGAGTATATTAAGACATATGTTACTTATATCATGTTGTTGTTGACCTTTTAGAATGGAATTCACGTCTAAACCAAAAAAAAATTAGGATGGCAAACCTCCTCCAAATTGACAAGGTGGACTTTTAAAACTCCAACGACCAGTACATAGGGGTGGAGACAGGGAGGGGCTCGAGGGGGCCTCGGCCCCTGCAAGATTTTTTTTTAAGTATATATTATTTATAAATACTTTTAATCTATAAGAATATGTTGATATTTTATACTTTGGCCCCTGCAATGTAAAAATTTTAATAATCGGCCCCCTTAACCTTAGATTTCTGGCTCCACCACTGCCAATACACTTGCGCCGGCCAAACCAAGTCTATTAATTTTCTCTCAATTACCACACCTTACAAGGGTAAGATAACACTTTCCTTGACATATTGTGGGACCCACACAGCCGCCAATTGAGTCACGATCTTTCGACCGATCAAGAAGAAAAAGAACCTGTTCTTCTATTTCCAGGATGAGAGACTCTTCCTCGATCACACTGTCCAGGAGAAAAGAGAACTTGTTCTACAATTCTCTCCCATGCATGATTGGGGCTGAGATTATATTCATTCGAGATGCTTCTTGATCTCAGGTATCCTCAATCTCGGTCAAAACTTGAAGATTACTGGCTAAGGCTCCATCTATGTTTGATCATGAGAAGTACGTACGCCATAGATGTGTTTTTGTTGATCAATAGTCTCAAAATCAGAGATAAAATCCGAGCCATGTTCATCAATCATCACGTACAACTCTTATTTGGTTTTTTGGTGAGAGTACAAAGTGTTTGAAAATCACACCGGGTAAACACTTACTGAAGCGCGGAGGGTATATTAACGTTTCATAAATTATCCCACGCAAATGGTTCCTTTTTCCTCCTTTTGATTAGTTGATTTACTATGCATGATAATAAAGTCGTGTTTGAAATTTGAACATTTTATATTAGAGAATGTGGTAAAGCAATAAGTGCATATTGTATTTACACGCATCATTATTCATTCGACTTTTTGCCTTAAATAAGACTAAATTGTTCTTGATATTCTTAAATGGAACTATGTATATTTTTATTCCTCAAATAGGACTAAATTACCCATTTATCCTTAATTTCTTCCTCTTTAATTTCCTGCGCACACCATTGAGAGTTGAGACATCTACTTCTTGAGCATCGTTCTTCTTTCTCCCCTGCGCACATACGTTCTTCTCCTTCACGAGCTCATCTTCTCTTCTTCTCTTTCGTACAACAACAACAAACCTAGAAGTCAGTCCCTAATAAGTCCACCTCCGCCCTCACCTGCTCATCTTCTCTCCTTCCCCATCGCCGCCGCCGCTATCGCGAAGTCCTCCGCCGCCGCCATCGTGAAATCCACCATCGCCGCTGTTGGAGATGCTATTCTTCTTCCCCACGCTCTATTTCTTCTTTGATTGCTACAAAATGCCAAGTTGCTATCTGAAAATGCCATCAAAATGGCATTCTTTGTCTTCAAAAATTTTGCTTTGTGCTTTGAAAATGCCAATTAGATGGCATTCTAATAAAAATCTTGGCATTCACGCCGGAAACGGCTAGATCTGCAACTGAGGAAGTCTGATTTGCAGCAGCAGATGACAGATAAGGTGCGACGGTGGCTGGATCTGCAGGGGCAGCGGCCGACGGCCGACGGAGGCTCGAGCCGGTCAGATCTCCGGCGATGCTCGCTAGATCTGCATTCATGGCGACCAGATCTGCATTCATGGCGGTCAGGTCTGCAACAAAGACCACTTTTTTAGGCGACGGCGATCTCCGGCGACCGGCGGCGGCAGACGGCGAACGGCGGTGGTCCAGTGTTCTGGTCGGCGGCGGGTTGACTTCCAAGCATCAAGGGCGCTTTTGTCCAATTATAGATTATAACTCCTATTTAGGAGAATTTTAT